TTCCTGGCTGAGTCCTGAGAGTGAGGCCCAGCGAGACAGCCCTGAGCTCCGTCTTACTCTCCAGAAACAAGGGATGGGAAAGCAAAGCGCCTGCCCGGGTGTGCCCGACGGGAAGCCCTGCTCCTGCCCCGCCCCTGCAGCACCCACCTGGCTCCCACCGAACCAGGGTGAGAAGGGCACGGAGGGCAGTGGCAGGAAACGGCCCAGCGGGCGTCCAAGGGCCCGGGACCACCCACCTGCTTCCAGTCTTCCCAGGTGCTCTGGGCCTGGAGCTGGGAGGGGGGAGGTTGAGGGCACCCCTACACGCCCCCACACAGCCCTCTGCTGGCATGAGGTGGAAGGTGAAGATGGGGGGCTGCTCTGAACCAGCCGCGTGGGGCCTGCCCTGTCCCAGAGCGGCAACGCTCTCACCTAACCAGCCCTGCTTCTCCAGAGCAGACCTCGGGGGCGGGGGACAGCACATCCCGTCTGCTTATCCCTGAACACGCGCGGTCGTCACAGTCATCCTCACAGGCGCGTGGTCCCTGGTCCCTGTCACGACGAAACCACACAGGAGAGACCCCAGGGTCCTGGCCGAGTGTGGGCGAGGCCAGTCGGCCTCGGGCACAGGTTCGAGCCTTTTCACTGTCTCGCTTCTGTCTTGCACCAGGAATTGCACAGTGGCTGTCAGAGGGCACAGACCACGCCGTCCCGTCGTTCTAACCGGCACGGCCCCACCGACCGGCCCCAGACAGCTGTCCCCACCCACGGCCCCAGGCCACCGCCCAAAGGCCGACAAGAGGCCAAAGGCACAGCTCAACGGTGGCACCGAGCAGGACAGCACAGAACAGCAGCCACCCCCACGGGGCAGGGCCAAGGGCACAGAACCCACGAACACCACTCAAACTTCTGCTCCACAGAGCTCGGGCAGTTCTGGAATCATGCCCATTTTACAAACAGAGCTGGGAGGGGCTGCGCCGCTAGGGCCGGCCGCACCTGCCACCTGAGGGGCCCAGGCCGTGAGCCCGGCTCCCAGCTCAGCTTCCTAAAGGTGCAGCCATCCCAGCCCGGGTAGAGGAAAAGCACAACTGACAGGTGGCTGCCCCCTCCCTGTGGAAGCGCGAGCGGATTCGGGTCAGCTGACGCCTGCGGCAGGTGACAGCAGGTGGAATTTCCACTTGGGCACACCAGAGACCCAGGCCAGGCACCTGCCATGACCTCCTGCATCTCGGTCATTCGGGTGAGCTTCTCCACCACCTCTCACCGCACAAACCAAGGGTTATGGGCACCGCGCCATGTGCCCACGGTCACGCAGCCCAGACAAGCAGAGCCAGACGGGAAACCGGAAACGAGGCAGGCTGGCTTTGGGTTGGATATGAAAAGAAGCCACGAGGCAAGGGCCCCTCTGGGCAGTCACGTGAGTTCTCGCAAGCCTGGAGACTCAGCCCCTGGGAGTCCCTGCAGAGCAGAAGGCCAGCCCCTGCAGCTTAGCTCAGGACTCTAGTCCAAGTCCACTCTCGGCTCCCCACGAGCAGACGTCACAGCATGGCCAGGCATCACCAGTGGCCATCACAGCAAGGTGTGGCCGGCCAGTGGCCAGCACTAGAAGTCCCAGAGCAGCCCCTCGCCTGCAGCTGCAAAGCAGCTCAGAGCCAAAGCTGCTTCGCTGCAAAGCACTGGTGGCAGCAGGGCCCCAGTCTGCACACGGTCGCCACAAGGCTGGCAGGCGGAGCATAGAGAGCGGAATCCTGATCCACATCCGGCTTACACAGCCGCGCCTCCGAGGCGAATTAAGAGCAAAATTGGAGGGGCCAACAGGTGGCGTGGTGGTTAAGGTGCTGGACTCCCACATGGCCAACGACCTGGTGGCTTTTTCACTCTCTCTCTCTGGTGAGCACATGTGCCCTATAGTAAATTAAAGAAAAATCATAATGATGATAATAAAAGTAATTAAGTTTTGGGGGCAAAAGGGAGCAAAATGAGATTACACACCAATACCCTGCATTTTAACTAGCAGCTGCAAAGCGGGTCTGCCAAGGCTTTCCCATTTCACTACACAATTACACTAAGTACTAGTTGTGCGTATGCGTGTGCACATGGGAATGTGAGTGTATGTGTGTCCACACGTGTTCTGAAGACTCTTCCTTCTCAAAGTTCAGGAGGTGACACGAAGGTTAAGGGGCTAGATCTCATATGGCCAACTCCGTGGTTTGAGTCGCTTAAAAGCACACTAGCAACCAGCAGATGGCGTAATGGTTATGTCACTGGACTCCCACATAGCTGGCGACAGTTCGAGTCCTGAACCGAGCAGCTTGAAATTCACGCCATGCACATGTATGTGTGTGCCCAAAATCCCAAGAGGAGAATGGAGGAAAAGGGATTGCAGCGTGGCCATCCTCCTAGAGGGGTGATTTCTCACTTTCTGTTTCTCTGGTATGCACACTAGCCCAATAGCAAAATTCTAAATAGAAACCACACCAAGCACTTGTGCGTGCATGCCCAAAGTTCTGAGAAGAGAATGGAGGAAACGGGGTTGCAGCAGTGTGGCCATCCCCAGCCGGGTGGTTATTTCCCATATTCTCCCCTTCTCTCCCTCCTCTCTCTGCCTCCCTCCCCATGACTGCACACACCCTAAACCCACTTAAAAAAAAAAAAAAAGAACCATCCGCCCACTGTCCCCGACCCAGGGCTCCAAGGGCAAGTCCACCTCCACTGTGGGCAGAACGAACGGGTGAGAGGTCGAAGCCACTTTCCGACTACTCCCCAGGAGCCGAGAAGCCACTCAGGAAAGGAAGCCAGCATGCTACCCATCGGGCTCCCGCCAGCTCCAGCCCGGGCAGACGTCCCTGGGCAGGCATGAGCACGCCGCTCAG